AGTTGCGCACGCTAGCACAGGCAGGAAATAACCTCACTGAATTCAAGAGCACACTCAGGAAGGTGTTAAAGTTGCGCGTTCCTGGAACGCTCGAACATACTCAAGTGAAACAGGTACTTCTGCCAGAAAAACGGGGGTGGTTGGGTAAACTAGTGTTGCTGACACGTAATCAGACTCTAGTTTATTTCAACAATCTGCATGAAGGAGGTACATGCAAAACTATGTACTACTTCTAGTTGTATTGTCAATACACGCACGTATTCATACAATGTTTGTTTGTTTCATTTGTTGTTTTTTTATTGATTTTGAATTATTATGGTTGTCGTGTAATTTTATTTACATACGTTTGTGCGAACTTGTACCTCTATACTTAGTCTTTTGAAATATATAAGCTAAATTACTGTTCTGAGCGAGACAACATACAGAGAATGTTTTATTCGAAAACGTCACAAAACCCTTCTCGCTACCTTAAGTGTTAAACTTGTAAACATTTTAAATGGAATTCATTAGCGTCTGTGTGCAGAATGTAATTTTTCATAAAAGTGTAGTTTTGACAATTAATACACTAGTGACTATATAACAGTTCAGTTGTCGATATGAATGACACTGCTTACGAGAATGCTTTGTCGCTAGAGGGCGCGAATTAATGGAGAAGCGTATTAAACGTCAATTTGAACGTTAAAGCGCGGTGGTCGTCGCGCAGCGCGTGTTCGAATTTCATGTAAATAAACAATGTATTTTACACGCGTTGTGTACGTCGCTAAGAGTCCCATATCGAACAGTACGCGGCACGACGACTGCCGCCCTTTAAAAGCCGCCAATGGCATTTGCACAAATATATTGTGTGGTTTGCAATTGTTGTACATGATAGAAACGACTGTTTTGCGTTTCAGGCAATAGTGAACCACTTCGAAGACCTCGGTGGATGGGATGTCTCACTCGACAAGTTTGACGAGGAGACGGTGTTAGGGAAGAAGTCCTTCAGTAACATCATAGTTACTTTGAATCCATCAGTGGATAGGAGACTAGTACTGGCATGTCACTACGATACTAAATTCTACGCTTCCTCACCCGAAGGCAAGCAGTTCTTAGGTGCTACGGACTCCGCTGTTTCCTGTGCGATTCTGATGGAATTGGCTAAACGCTTGGACAAGTATCTAAAAGCACCAAATATTCAGGTGTGTTCGATATCTGAAAGCGGGAGGGTCGTCACCTGCGCAAGCGCGGGAATTGAGTCCCCGAGCGCAAATGCTCATGGGTAGACGCTTGTTTGTAAACAATAACACGCTATGGCCATCTGACGCGTGCGTAGGTGACGACTCCCCCGCTTGAACTGATAAATACAGTTTTCATGTTAATCGGACGAACAAACGTAGAGCAGTATACCGGAACTGACGGCTATCGTCAATGTACTGTAAATGTTTCGCGTTAACAAAATACATAGATACAACAATTCTAAAAAAAATAACAGTCAATTGAAATTTGGCAAGGTGGAACTCTTTTGCATCAATCAAAATGAATTTGTTCAACCATACAATGCAACAATATAGAGTACACGTTTCAACGCTTTGTTTTTGTTATTATTGTCTCCACAGTGGGGATAGGCGACTGGTAATGGCATGTCATCATATTACTAATAGTCCATTAAAATAGTGTGAACATCTTTCATTCGGTGTGTTTTGTTGTCTTTTTCCTCATAAATCACACTGCGTCATATTCAGTTTACACGATTAAATTCCCCTTCCGGTATACTCAAAGCTTTACGTAAATCACTCAAAGATATTCATTAATTATTCACTGGGTTTTTAATCAAATATAAGATGTGACCATTTAGTTAAAATAGTTAAAAGTATACTGTATTGGATATGTATAAATAATGTAAAAAACGAAGCAGTTTCATTAATCAAAAGCTTCGCAAGGAATGTGTAGAACTAAAAATAATATACTGTACTAATATACGTAATATTACTGTGTAATAAAACGAATCAATCATTTTATACTCAAAACGAAACAAAACAAAACGACACTCGCATAACACAGCATGAATTTACCACAGTATTATATATATTGTAGTATACTGATAGTTTTACCATTTACATATAATTTACTTTCTTTACCATTATTATCAAGGGTTGCGTATTTTTCTGCTTCCAGACGTTTTGACTTGAAGTTTGATTTTGCGTGTGTGAATCTTATTACATATAATTTAAGCTATATATCTTGTTTTGCGATGAGAGCGAGGTAACGTTATAGTTTTTGAAAGTATATGCAAATGTGAGTACTATGAAAGTATCACAATCTTATTCGATATGTGTTATGTTTACAGAAAGAGGTCACCCTACAGATGGTCTTCTTTGATGGGGAAGAGGCATTTCTGGAATGGACAGCAACCGATAGTCTGTATGGTTCGAGGCACCTGGCAGCACTTTGGCAGAATACAACATATCCGCCAGGCTCTGATACAACCATGCTTTCTGGAATTGTAAGTATGAGGAACGTACCAATATTCTGTGATGGGGTTATCAAAAGTAGTATTTGGTTCATGACATTATAATTTTTTTTTATAATGTAATGACATTGACACATTGTTATGCGTTAACCTCTACAGGACGATTTGGTGTTGCTGGACTTACTTGGTGCAAGACACCCCTCTATCTACAATTTCTTCAGTGATACCAGCGATATATATAATCAACTGATGGACATTGGTAAGTTGTATTTTTCCCCAATCAATTAATAAGTCGTCTGTTCCAACAAACAACTTTAAAAGAGAAAGTGTTATTAGATCACACAAGCATAAAATCAACATTCGCGCTAATGCTAGTAATAATATAAATTGATTAATGGCTTGATTTTATGGTAATCCAGAAACCGAGCTCGCTAATACCAGT